GACTGCAGGCGACAAGCGACCGTAGGAAAGAACTCAAAGATATTTAGTTCGGACACTGATTTGTGGCAACATATACACACAATCAAACTTGGAATCACTGTGCATTTCTGAATTAACTTCTTGTTAGGAAAATATTTGGTATCCAACTTTAAGATAAGACTTTTGGTTCTAAACAAACATGATAATAAAGAAGAAACGACTGCTGCGATTTATTATCTTGTGAATTTTGTGTTCAGAAGTAAAATCACGATCCTCCGGTAATTTTATTTCCATCCAACGAAACAATAATAGGCCTTATGTTGGACTAACAGATGTGCAGAGCACGATACACAGACTAACGGTATGTTCCTGCGCATGCAGCTGACTGACGGTGACGTCATGTGGGACATATAATTATAAGCATATAGAGATAGTGTTTAAAATTCGATATTTTGCAAAAATTTTATGCAGTTACTTAAACTTTATTGGTTATTTTGTAATATATTCGTTTACAAATATAAAGGTTTAAGGTAAATAATACAAATAAAAATATTAATTTTTCTCATAAATTATAGGTATTTTGTGACAAAATCCATAACCTGGCCATAAGATAAGTAAAAAATATAGACTAAAAATGCAAGTTTGATTCAAATTTGTACTTTCTGGGCGTGGTAGTTCTCTTGCAATCTTTTTTCTTATTATGTGAAATAAAAAATAAGTTTGTAAAAACAAATTATTTATTTATAAAAAGTAAGTACACAAAAAAAATACTTTTTATTTGGTATATTTAAACATTTTTTTTTCAACTTTACTTTGAAAATACTCAAAACCAATTTTTCTGTTCATTTATCTTATTCTTATATATGTTCGTGTTCTGCTCATGCATGGTATTACTTCAAAAGGACCATTATATTGGGACAGGAAACTATTCTTTTTCTGCTAAAATTTTAAAATACCGATTTATTTTCTTTGCTTAATGAGGCCCATGCACCTGGTGGAATTCAGTTTCCTTTTCTTGCGTCTATGTTTAAGAGGAATTTTACAACTACTTTCCTCAAAGTGGATAGGGTAACTTTAATTAAGTTTGTCCTTTCTTCGATAAGAATTTACCCATATTTTGTGGCATTCGGAAATATCTCCACCGCACAGCCTGGCATTTTAAACATTCATTTAGTTTTTCCCTGTTATATATAGGAAAATATAGTCACTACTAACACAAAAACAAATAAATTATTAAATTATATTACACTATTCAATCAAAAAGGGTCAAAATAACTTGAAAGTTCGTCCCGCATTACGTCATAGCGCGGTTTAGACGAATTTTAAATCGAAAGTCAGCATATCTTTAGTATGTGTATCGTGGTGCGGAAGGGAAGAATTATTGGTCTCATTGAACAAGGAATGTCCCAATGAGACATAGCAGAGGTAGTAGGCGATACCCAAGGTGTTGTATCGAAAACATATGAAAGGTACTTGGAATTAGAAGCTCTCAGGCAAAGTCGTCAAAGAGTCACAACTGAGTAACAGGATCGCTTTATGTGCCAAATTGCTAAAATAAATCCCTGTGTTTCTCATCCAGAGCTGCAACGACAACTTCTGGAAGCTACAGGTGTGCACGTTTCAGTTGAAACCCTAAGAAAAAGATTTCGCGCTCGAGGGTTGTACAGTAGGCGAGAGTTACGGGTTCCATTGTTATCTAAGTAAAATAAAATTGACCGACTAAATTGGTGTATTTAACACCAAAACTGGACAATTGAGAATTGGCAAAATGTTCTCTTTTTGGATTACCCCAGAATTAGCCTAAGGTCAGATGATCATCGAATTCGGGTTCTCAGATCTCCAGGAAGATGAGCGAGACTCCACGCTGCCAGATCTGTCCCAAGATATCAAGAAGGAACTGTAATATTCTGGGGAGGTATTATGATGGGAGCAAAAACTTCATTGTTACCACTTCAACAAACTTTAAGCGGTCCGAGGTATGTTGATTTAGTGCTAGAACCAATCATTAGGCTTTGAAAAGCGGCAATTAGGGATAATTTTATCTTTGTGCACGATAATGCAGCTCCCCATTCAGCAGAGTTGCTATAAAATGTCTTGAAACGAAAGACGTCACAGTTTTAGACTAGCCTGCATGTTCACCAGTCCTAAATCCTATCGAACATTTGTGGAACCAGCTCAAAAGAAGGGTCAGAGCTCGTCTAAACAATGCAAGAAATGTTGCACAGCTTATTGATGTAGCATTAGCAGAATGGGAAAACATACCCCAAGACCATGTTAACAATTTAATCATGTCCCAAGGCGAATAGAAGCTTGCATAAGGGCTAGAGGTGGTAACACGGTTTGCCAAAATTATCAATTTTCTTTTTGTTTTTGTTTTCGGCTATTAAAAATTTAAATCTCATTTCGTTCCAGAAGCCAAAAAAATACCATTGTGTTTATTTTGTAAACTAATTGATTATTTGTATTGCCATGTGGGTTATTTGTCATTAAAAGTCTTTGGTAAGGACTAAGTGTTATTCATAAACAAGAAAATGTTCATACATCTCAAAAAGTGTAAAAAATAATAGATGATTCCATATAAGTTTGGTTGTGTATCTTTTGGTAGTCATTTGTGAAAAAATGATTGTAAGACGCATGTTAAAAGTATTGTTCGAGAAAGAAGAATAAAAAGACAACTTTTTATGAAAAAAAAATATGACCAGTGATTTCAGGATATAAAACTAGAAGTACAACTTTAAACGAAAATAAAATTAGTACTTAAAATAGTATTAACGGAGCATTCTAAAATTAAAATTAAAATATACATGAGTAATTCTCTCGCAATTTCCCAAGTGACGCAAGTTGATTTTTATAAACAACTGACTTGATGTAAGTAACCTCACAGACAAAAATCAGGTGGCATTAAGTCTGGTAACCTCGGTGGCCACTCAATAGGACCTCTCCTTCCAATCTATTTAATCGGATAATTAGTTCCCAACCAGTGCCTAACTGCAGCTGCATAGTGAAGAGGTGCTCCATCTTATTGGAAGTGCAGCAAATCTTTGTCTAGAGCTAGATTACCTTGGTCATCCCTTTGGTTCTCTTACTCATACACAATTAAAGATTAGATGGTGTTTTCCAGCATATCTAGATAAATGTCGCCACTTAAATTACCTGGTATACGGGGCCAATTAAAGCATCGCCTAATATCCCAGCACAAATATTCAATTTTTTTAGAATATTGAGTGTGACCTTCTCTAAATCGATGAGGGTTTGCATCATTCCAGTACCGACAGTTTTGTTTATTTGCATTACCATTTAGCATAAAAGTACATTTATTACCAAAACAAATATTTTTTAATAGTTTAGATTCAAAGCGAATTCTTTCAGTCATGATTTCACAAAACTCAACTCGTCTGGATCATCATCGCCTAGTTCTTGAAGAATTTGCGTTTTATACTGGTGAAACTTATATAATCTCAACACCTTCCTAACTAACTGACGCGATAGTCCTGTTATTGCAGATACTTGACTTGTTGATGCAGTAGTCTCTGTTGCAAATTGTCCAAGGACCTTAATTTGGCTTGCTTCTTTCAGTAATCTTGGGGAATCCCTTTTTTTATTTTGCACTGATCCCGTTTCTCTAAACTTTTTAACTAAATCGCAGATGTACACGTGATTTACATTTTTGTCCGGATGCCTCTCATTAAATATTTGAGCTGTTCGTAAATGACACTGGTTCTGGGAGCCAAATATAACAATTATCTCCACACGTTTAGATATACTCATGTTACTTGTACTTAGGTACTTTTTTTCACATTATTTTGATTCCTTTCACCAATTTTTTAAAAAATTACTTTATTTTACTGACTTACATAGAAATCTGACACCGCTGTCATTTGACATTCCAACTACAGTCAATTTCGCAAACTTTATAAAAAAAGGACGGAAATTTGAAATTTAACCATTGCCGAATTGCCTCCTTTTCTTTAGTATCATCAAGTAGGGTATGTTTATTTTTAAAATTGTTAATTTGGCAATTATTGATATTATTTATACCATTGGATAGCATTTTTTTTATAGGATTTTCAATGATGTATCACAATTAGTAGGGGTTTGCTATTTTAACTTTTTTAGTTGTATTAGGTGGGGCCTAGGAGGTAAGTTCTCTTTAGTGTCATTTTATTTCCCCCTTCCTATCCTAGAAACGATTTTAAGTATTTTTTGATATCATCTTTCGTTTGTGAGATATAGCCCATTGTAAGTTTTTAAATTGTTACATTATATTAAATGGTAAAATACGTGTGTAATTGAGATTTTATAAATAGTGATTTATAAGATAAATTATTTTCCAGGTAATTTATTTAAAATTAATTTTAAATGGAAGCAAGAATTTGTTTACTTAAAATTTAAATTTCAAACGAAAAAGGTTATATTCATCGTCTCTGATTAGTTAAAAATGAGGAGAAAACTCATATTTAAAACAGTTCTTGACATAATTTTTATAAATAACTTTAAATATTATAATCGATAAAGCTGTAGTTAGAGTTTTTTAACATTTATTGTTTGCTCTGCCCAAGGGCAATTGAATCAAGTGAATACATCATAAAAAGCTGTAAGTTTTTTTTTTGTTTTAACTGCAAGTTCATGGTAGACAGTTATTCTTTGCCATACATATATTTATACAAAAATCCCTTTTGAACAAAATAAATGCATTCAAATGCTCATTAATAGTACATGGACAAGAAATATACTTAAAACTACAAAATGGCTGAGCATCCAGAGAATTTAACTTTAGAAACTATTTTTGATGAACTTATCAGGACCAGAATTGATCTTAAAAACTCAATCGAAGCAATTGAATCAAGTGAATACATCATAAAAAGCTGTAAGTTTTTTTTTTGTTTTAACTGCAAGTTCATGGTAGACATAGTTATTCTTTGCCATACATATATTTATACAAAAATCCCTTTTGAACAAAATAAATGCATTCAAATGCTCATTAATAGTACATGGAGAAGAAATATACTTAAAACTACAAAATGACTGAGCATCCAGAGAATTTAACTTTAGAAACTATTTTTGATGAACTTATCAGGACCAGAATTGATCTTAAAAACTCAATCGAAGCAAGCGAAACGAGACTACAATTAAATTTTCAATTCTGTAAAAAACAATTAGAAGAGTTGGGAAAAGAAAACGCGCATCTCAAAGCGAAAGTGGAGCAACTAGAGATAGAAAACAAGAAAAAGAATATAATAGTTTTTGGCTTGAATAAAACTCCCAGTGAACGAGGCGTATTATACTTTTGTAATAAAATCAAACAACTGATGAATATTGATATAGAGGAAAGAGACATTAGTAATATCTATTCATTGGGTAACTCGGAAACATCCCCTCTGAAAGTTGAGTTTGTCTCTGAAATAAAGAAAAAGAGCTTATTAAGGAACAGGTTTAAACTTAAGCATACAAACATCGTAATTGCTAACGACCAGACGCAAACGCAAAGAGAAGAAAATAGAATACTACGCCAACATCTACACAACGCCAGAAATACTCATTTAGAGAAGAGCTATATTAAAGGAAATAGACTATACATTGGAAACAAAGGATACATCATAAGCGAGTTGGAAAACAGCATTAAGCAGAAACCAAATAGTGAACATTCCACACCAACAATTCAATTAGGTAACATCCAACAAAAAACTGAAAAAACAGCCGTACAAAAACCAAGCATTCATTTAATAAATAAGATCAATCAAGACACAAAAGAAAAAAATAACAGGGAAGAGAAAAATAATACTCCAGACTCGCCAAAGGATAGACTGACTACTAGAGGTAACACGAAAGAAATTAAACCTAAAGGAAGAACCAACTCTACATCAACTACTGGTAATAAATAAATAACTAATATTTTTCAAAAGTACTTTCTTAAAATTAATGTTTAAGCTCATGTACTAATACACATATATGTGAAGTGATAATCTTATCGAAATCCAAATTCTATAAATCCACTTTCTAATCACATTAGTTTTTTGTAAATTAAATTTTCTTGTTTTTTTTTGGTAATTTTAAACTTTATACTTTACACAGTGGCCAAAAAATATTTTAAATATAATAATTTTAGCTTTTACCCTTTAATACTTAAATATGGATCAATATGTACGCGATTTTAATATAGAAACAGTCGAATCTTATACTATCGATACTATTAACGAATGTTCAGAAATAATAAAAGTTAACAAAAATAATAAAGACCTTAAAATTATTCAAATGAATATTCGCAGCATCAATAAAAATTTAGATGAATTCAAAATTATATTGCAAAGTTTGGAGTTTGATTTTGACTGCATTATATTGACCGAAACTCGAGAAATAGTAGATCAAAGTATTTTTCAGATCAGTGGGTACAACATGATATATAATGAGAGTTATCATAATCAAAATGATGGAGTTGTGGCTTATATTAAATCGTCCTTGCAGTTTTCATATGATTCGGTTGAAATTTTTAACGACATGAAAGCACTTAAAATACGTATTGAAAGAAATAGATACAAATACAGTTTTAGTTACCGCATTTTACAGATCACCAAATTCAAGTATCCTTGACTTCAACGAAGGTCTATCCAGATTTCTTGAAGAAAATAATGACAATTCAAATGATTTTTATATATTTACAGGTGATATAAACATTGATTTGCTAAAACTTGAGGACAATATGACAGTGGAATATTTAAATATTTTAAATGAACATGGTTATGACTCAACTATTAATGAAGCCACTAGGGTCCAGGGTAACACCAAATCTTGTTTAGATCACATATTTATCAAATCCAAATATAATAACATAAAAGATAATATAATTCCACTAATACTTAAAACAAACGTTACAGACCACTACTCCACTATTTTGCAGGTCATATTAGGGAATGATAAAAAAGTAAACAATAGAAAAAATAACAAATATATTAAATTTATTAATCCAAATAAAATCAACAATATTTTTCGAGTTATTTCATGGTCCCCTGTATATGCATTAGAAAATCCAGACATTGCAGCAAACACATTTGTTAACATTATTCAAAATGGTCTTGTAAAATGCACAGAGAACCGTAAATTAATAAGAAAACGAGATAAAATTGCACCCTGGATGACAAATGGACTGCTCACTTCAATTAATAAAAAAAATAAAATGTTTCTGAATATTCAAAAATATCCCAACAATTTCGAATTAAAAAGAAATTATAATAATTATAGAAATAAAATAAACAATCTAATTACAAAAACAAAATTTAATTATTATAAACAAAAAATTGAAAGTGATAAAAACAATTTTAAAAAGTTGTGGGACGTGGTACAGGATATAAGTAAAACAAACAAACAACCGAAAGAAATTGTCAAAATAAAAAACAGTATTGGGGAATTATTAACAAATAAACAAGAAATAGCAAATGAATTTAATAAAGTTTTTGTTGACATGGGACAGAATCTTGCGAAAAATATAAAAGTGGATCCAACATATAATTACCAAAGAAAATCCGTCCAAAACTCATTTGTTTTGAGCTCTGTTGATAGAACAGAAATTCTTAATGTTATTGGCGAATTAAAAAACAAAAAGGCTGTTGGTGATGATAATATAAAAGCTGAAACTATAAAAGCAATCTCATATTACATAATAGAACCACTATGTTTCTTGATAAACAAATGTATTGACCAAGCAATTTATCCATCAATCTTTAAAAGTTCAATAATTATACCAATTCATAAAAAAAGCGATGTTACAGAAATTTCTAATTATCGACCTATAAGTCTAGTAACACATTTCTCAAAAATCTTCGAAAAAATATTAAAAAATCGTCTTCAATCTTATTGCAAAAAGTATAAAATAATTTCAGACTGTCAATATGGATTCCGGGAAAAAAAAGTACCGAGGATGCCATCTTAAAACTTACAACAAAAATCACAGAATCCCTAAATGAGAGTAAACCATGCCTAAGTATATTTATTGACTTATCAAAAGCGTTCGATACGGTCAGTCACCGCCTACTTTTACAGTCACTGGAAGATATCGGAATACGGGGAAAATGCAACAAACTCTTTGAAAGTTATCTGACTGACCGACTCCAGACTGTGAGAGTGGGTAATGTTTGCAGTGGCGCGGAAACCATAAAGTATGGTGTACCTCAAGGGTCCATCCTTGGTCCTATGCTATTTAGTATATATATTAATGAGTTATTTTCTTTAGATACATGTAGTACTATAATTGGATTTGCGGATGATACGGCAATTTTTTATAATGCAAATAGCTGGATGGAGATAAAAGTTAAAGCGGAACAAGACTTTTCAAATATTAAAAGATATCTCGATAGCAAAATATTAACAGTAAACTTTGAAAAAACAAACTACTTGCCATTCAGTTGCAATTCAACCGGCGCTCCACCTTTTAACCAACTAAAAATCAAGGTTAACAAGGAAATCTTTTTCATATCACCAGAATCAAAAATAAAATACTTAGGCGTAATAATAGATCAACATTTAAAATGGAATTTACACATTACATACTTAGTCAATAAACTTAGAAGTATCCTATATAAATTTAGAAAATTAACAAAATTATTACCGCTAAAGTATCTAAAAACACTATACTTTTCATTAGTTGAAAGCCATCTTAGGTATGCCATCGTTATCTGGGGTGCAGCGTTGAATACCCATATACATTCCTTAGAAGTCACTAAGAAACGCTTTTTAAAGCTAATTTACAGTAAAAATTCCAGATATTCCTCCGATGCCTTATATAAAGACACACAGATTCTTGATTTAAGACAACTCTATTTTTTCTGTACCACAACAAAATATCATGTAAACAAACAGTATTCCCATCTTCCAAGCCACGACTATGATACACGTCAGAAACATCATTTTGTGTCCCCACTGATGCTCAAAACAATTACACAAAAGTCATATTTATATTTGGCACCCAAATTTTACAATATGATACCAGAACACATTAAAGACATAAAAAATACAACCCATTTTAAAACAAAATTGAAAGAGTTTATTCTTGAAAATGCTCGAAGCCTGATTCAAATTCACGTCGTAAATTAGGAGTTTGAAATTACCACTTCGTTACTTCTAATAATATAAATAAAATAAAAATAAAAATAATAAAAAAAAAAAACTAAATTTAACTATCTTTATAAATAAGTTTATTTTAAATTCGAATGTTCTTTCTGTAATTTTAATTTAGTTTTAGTTATTAGTTAAGTATCTCTTTTTAGTTATTGTTTTATTTCGAAACAAGCGTTCACTCGCTTATCGAGTAATTTATTTATTTATACAATTTTATATATATATATATATATATATTTTAAATCTGTGTAGGTATTTAAACCTTTTTTCTTTTTGTTGTTTATAATATTAGTTAAATATGACAAGCTGCGTTTATATCCTACTTATTATTGTATTTTTTTTTTGTATGAATAAATATTATTATTATTATTATTATAACAAACACTGTAGTTTTCACATTTATTACTAAAATGAAAATACATTTGGATTAAACAAAGAAAAGATAAAATATTTTAGATTTATTAATTTGTAAATATAAAACTGTAATCCTAATCGAAAAACAGATTTGGAGAGTAAAATAACTTATTTAAGCTTCATGGGAAATTTTATAGGTTACTCACCCTATATAAATAGCATTTTATTGTTTGAATAGCTTTCTTGTCATTACTATGGATAAAGTTATTTTTCACTATTGTTTAATATTTTAAAAAATATAAAAATGCATCGCCTAATAACTTAAAAATTTATATTTATACAACAATTTATTAAATTAATTCCATTCTGTTTTTTTGAGGATACTTTTTGACAGCGTTTTTTCGAAAAACTGTCACAGAAAAAGTAAAACAAACTAACGTATTTTATATTTTTAAAAACATGCTTCAAAATACTTTTATTTGATATCACATGATGACAATCCCCCCCCCCTCACTGAATTCCAAGACAAAGTAAGTACGGTTTTAGTTAACGCCTAATTTTTTATTGCCAAATTAAGTACTAATGAGACAAATTACTTAAACAATCATTTGTTTTTGTCTTAAAAATATTACAGTTTTTTCAAGTATATCTTTTCCAAATTTAAATTTGATATAATGGTTTTATCGCGAGAAAAACGAGACGAGACGAGGCTCTCTCGAGCGAGAGAAGCGCCTTCTCGTCGAGAGAACAGTTTTCTCTCGTCTCGCGGCATCACTAAAAGTTAGGTACTACGCTAATTTTAAAATTAAATAATAGATTACAATCTTAGAGGAATCCAGTAGTTTTATCCCTAGTGGATTACAGATTATAGTGAGTTTTTTGTGTTTTGTTTTTTAATATATTACAGTTTTTCATTCAGTTAGTACATTAATTTGATTAATAATTTTTTGTTACTATGAATAAATAAATATTAGTGGTATTAGTAGATTAGTTTTGTAAATTTGACTTAAATTAAATCAATATTCCATCATCTTTTTAATCTTGCTAACAATTTAAAACTCACTCTTTTCTCTTACCCACTAGGTGTGCCTGATGATGAAGTGACCAGACTTCGAAACCGGTCGCCGTTTAAATACTAATTTCTTTTGTGAGATATAAAGGACCTCTTTTCTTTCTTTTTCCACCTTTAATCCATAAACTCACACATGGCTACCACAAGTTTGAATGTTAAGTCATTGTTGTAAGAACATTTTTACGAATTTTAGTACGTACCTTAAAGGGTTTTCAAATTGTTACCTACTAATTTTAACAAAATAAAATTGTTGTTTATTGAAATAATGTAAATGATAATGCTTTCGCTGTTCCACGCCAACACCTCTGAGCTCATAAAAATGGCGCCGGTACTTCTCCAGTAAATTTT